AAACTGCGAATGGCTCATTAAATCAGTTATCATTTATTTGGTGGTCTCCTTACCACTCGGATAACCGTGGTAATTTTAGAGCTAATACGGCATATCCCGACTTCTGGAAGGGATGTATTTATTGGATAAAAGGCCGATCCGGGCTTGCCGGTTGTTGCGGCGAATCATGGTGACTTGTTGAATCGCATGGCCTCCAATAGCGTATATTTAAGTTGTTGCAGTTAAAAAGCTCGTAGCTGGATTTTGGGTGGGAGGGGTTGGTCCGCTCTTGTGGGCGTGTACCGGCGCTTTCGCCTTTCTTGCCGGGTATGCGTTCCTTGCCTTTATTGGCAGGGATCCAGAGCCGGCACTGTTACTTTGAAAAAATTAGTGTTCAAAGCAGGCCTGTGCTCTGAACATATTAGCATGGAATAACGTGATAGGACTCTGGTCCTACTTCGTTGGTCTTCGGGATTGGAGTAATGATTAATAGAGACGGTTGGGGGATTCGTATTCCATTGTCAGAGGTGAAATTCTTGGATTTATGGATGACAAACTTCTGTGAAAGCATTTGCCAAGGACGTTCTCATTAATCAAGAACGAAAGTTGGGGGATCGAAGACGATCAGATACCGTCCTAGTCTCAACCATAAACGAGGCCGACTAGGGATTGGCGGATGTCTATTGGATGACTCTGCCAGCACCTTGTGAGAAATCAAAGTTTAAGGGTTGTGGGGGGAGTATGGTCGCAAGGCTGAAACTTAAAGGAATTGACGGAAGGGCACCACCAGGCGTGGAGCCTGCGGCTTAATTTGTCTCAACACGGGGAAACTCACCAGGTCCAGACATAGCAAAGATTGAGAGATTGAGAGCTCTTTCCTGATTCTATGGGTGGTGGTGCGTGGCCGTTCTTAGTTGGTGGAGTGATTTGTCTGGTTAATTCCGTTAACATACGAGACCTCAGCCTGTATCCTCGTGGCCAGCTTCTTAGAGGGAGTGTTGGACGACTAGCCAACGGAARTTTGAGGCAATAACAGGTCTGTGATCCCTTAGATGTTATGGGCCGCACGTGCGCTACACTGATAAATCCAACGAGTCGCTTGCCTGGGTCGAAAGGCCCGGGTAACCTTCTTAAGGTTCATCGTGACGGGGATAGATTGTTGTAATTATCGATCTTGAACGAGGAATGCCTAGTAAGCGCGAGTCATCACCTCGCGCTGATTACGTCCCTGCCCTTTGTACACACCGCCCGTCGCTCCTATCGATTGAATGGTCCAGTGAAGTGTCTGGATTGCGGTGATCTCGGCGGTTTGCCGCTGGGGGTGCTATGAGAAGTTCATTGAACCTTATCATTTAGAGGAAGGAGAAGTCGTAACAAGGTTTCCGTAGGTGAACCTGCGGACGGATCATTGACAAGTGAATGGCCGATCTTCGGGGTGTGGGACGCTGGCTTGCTCGCCCTTCCGCCGCCCTTTGCCCCCATCGTCCCTGCATCCACTTTTCTCTTCCGTTTCAGCACCATCTTGGGCTTAGTGCCCAGCTGGCGGCTGGCCCGGCGCAGAGGGGCGCGTGGTGTAGGTAGAGGGTGAGAGGAGTGGGCGTGGCGTTGCTCCCCCTTCATCCCGTCTCGCCTCCGCAGGTTGTTACCTCGGCCCAGCCACACTCTCGACTTCTGGTCGGGATGGCGGTTGGTCCGTGCACGGACAGCCCTGTGGGAGGGTCAGGGGCGGGATGTCGGGTGGTGGCGGTTGTCCTCGGCCTGTGTACCCCCGCTCCTTCCCGTCTTAGCTTTGTCCAGACCTCCTTTCCATCCCGGCCTCGACCTCGGCTTCGTGCGGAGCTTGTGGCTTGTTTGGGGATCGAGGGTAGTGGTACAGGTTAGGGGCGAGGTGTGTTGCGGCGTCCTCGGCCCCTCCCCGTTTCGTCCTGCCTTCCTTCCCGACGGG